TTATTCCAAAGCACTAATGTATTATATGCGACAGTGCACGTAGAACTGCGCTATCGCACATGTAAAAAGTATAACATAAATTATTAAAAATCTCAAATAGCGATGATACGAATAACTTTTAATTACTGAACAATACTAGCTACTTTCACTGTGATGAAAAGTAGTGATCAACTTTAATTTGACTACAAGCAATCAATAAAACCAACCAGGAATAATCTCACTCTATCAACTATTAATAAAACAAATATTAACAGAGCTTCCGCTTTCTGAATAAGACCACAGACTACGCATTCCAAATTACTCGTTCTATTATGGGTAACAATTTGACGTTCCGCCTCATTAGCGTAACGTTTTAGTGCACAGTCATAGCTATAGACGCAGGTGCCAATTTTCTAATCAATCTGCAACGTCAAAACTTTTCTACCACCCTAAGTAGCTCAGAAAGAACGATCTCTCTGACTCCATAAAAAAATCCTTGAAAGGAATACTTCTACTACTTGGAGCCTTGTAGAAGTCTGTTTATGTGCAATACAAAAAATTCTCACAGAGCTCCGCAGATATGTAATGAGAGATGAATGTGAACGGTATACATTCAATAGATCTCGTGACCTTGTTTCATGTCCTTCTTTGCGTCAGAGTGAGACTTTTATTAAAAGTATACTGATTCACAGGTACGTAAGTGAAGCGATATATCACACAGTATATATTCCACACGTATTCTGATTAACAACAAATTACTAATTAACCATCCTTACTATCAAAATTAACTATTAATATTCACTATTTATGTCAAACTTATTTTCATTCAAGGTGTAAGAGCGTAACTCATGCCTCGCATACGAATGATTACGTTCATTTCATATAAACTTTCATGCATTTCAATGTAGAATAAACAACGTCACAACTATGAGTTTGAACGAACTCAATACACGTTATTGCCAATTGCACATGTTGATGTGTTGAGATGTGTGTGTGTGTGTGTGTGTGTGTGTGTATGGATGGGTGGACGGATATGGGTAAGTGGAGGCGTTTGTGCGTACGTGGGCGCGCAAGAACTCGCTTTGGACGACTTTTTATAGATTCTCTAACTTTTTTTACGACCTTTGGTGCAGAAATTCTCTCATTTTTTTACGACTTTTGATGCAGAAAAAGCCTCGAGAGTTCTACTTTCTCTTTATCTGATTTGATAGGCTTCATGAAAAATCACATTTTTAGGGTTCAAGTTTTAAACCTTTCGACCGCTTTCTTTAAATTTTTACGTACTTCATAAAATCTCTTATTAATTTCTTCTACAGTTTCTCCAAATACAAGTGCATTTTCAGCTCTCAAAATTCCGGTTTAAGTTCGGCCACGTGATAATATTTTCGTTTATCTGTCGTACCACATATTATAATTATGCTGGATATCAAATATAAGTCAATAATCATTTTTTATTCTTTCTTAATACCGATGTTAGAGCATTAAAAGCGATTTCTTCTTTTATTTTATATATTCAAATTTAATATTTTTAATGGCTATATTTCGTAGTTTATGCGGTAGTCGGAATAAAGATTCCATACATTAGTGGTAATGACACACTCTAACTCCATCAGTAATAATCGAATTATGTAAATTCTCATTTTTATTTATTACGTTAACGTATAAACTCTTTGTCACATCACTCCTGAAAATAAAATTTTCGATTCGTTGACTGGTACATTACCATGATGTACGTCAGCTACTAATGCCAAAAAGAGATTCCGTATATAATTTCCATCTCTTTACAAGGACTGTTACTCGTTGACTGAAGGAATACAATGATCCACGCTAGCAACCACTGCTAGAAAAAAGTGATACTGACAACACTCTGACATCTATAGTGATATGTGAATTATGTGAATTCCCGTTTCTATTTTTTACACTGAAGTATAAACTCTTTGACAAATTGTTATTTAAAATACGATTTACACTTATTTGGTCTAATTGTAACTATTAAGCTGAAACAATACCGTTATGTACATTAGCATCCAACATCGGACAAAGATTCAGTATATTAGTGACACTGACCCTTTCAACCGACTTTAGTAATATTCGAATTGTGTAGATTTTCGTTCGTTTTATTAGTTCAATGTATAAGCTCTTTGTCACACCAATCCTGGAAATAAGTTTTCTTATCTGTTCACTGGAGTAATACCATCATGTCCGTCAGCGACCACCGCCAGAAAAAGATTCCGTATAATAACGTCACTGATACACTCTGACGTTTTCAGTGATAAACATTTTATGTAAATTCACTTTCCTATTTGTTTTTATGATTAAATAAAGTAATATATTGTAGAATATAGATTTCATCGTTCTTCTCAACATTGTTTAGTTTGTTACCAAGGACAACGCCTAGTAACATATCGTTATTCTTTTTAGTCAGTCTTGCAAATTGATTGAGTAAACTGATTTAACCATTAAAATTATTTTATATATTGATTTGTTCAGTTAAAGTTCTTTTATATAATTTGTGTTTATTATTTACGGGATCTTATTACAATATTGTAAATATTATACAGTGTTTTTAATGATATTTTTTTATTTTGTTCATACTGCAATAAGCTATAGCAATAATGAAATGAACGTTTCATTACGATATTTTGATATACTTCATTTTATGAAGTGGTCTGAACTGGCTTATTTCTGAAACAGTAAAGTTTGTGGCGGAGAATCGCGGCATATTCGGCATTCTCCCGACGGGCGCTCGCCAATGTCCGCGCGCCGCGCCAAACTACGAGAGTCTTCGTATAGAGCACACTCATACTTATTTTTATTTTGTCGAGGTGTGGCGCGAGGACGAGTGACAGAGGAGGGTGTATGCGGCGAAGGAGAAGAGTGAAAAGAAAGAGAGAGATGGAAGACTGAAAAAAGAGACAAAAATAGTAGAAGTAATTGAGAGTTGCGCGCGTACCCTTGTATCTATTGTTCAGATAGTATTCGCTAAGCAATAGCAGTAGGCCGTCATGTACGCTTTTTTTTTATCGTTTTATCGAAAACTTTCATTGCGACATCGCCGATGAGAATTACGGAGACAAACCCGGTGCATTAAGTAATTTTGGTATTGTTGGCTGGATCAGACCTCGCCTCTTCTTGAAGTTTCGGCCGGCACCGGTGCATGTGGGAATCCGGCAAAGTATCGGGGGTGCGCGCGTGAGCGGCCACTGCTGCAAGCTGTGGAGAGCGACAGCGTTTGGCGGTTAGGGTTTGTCAACAAGCGATAACGAGCAACAATCGCACCCACAACGACAGCAATAACCGGACCATCAGCGACGTAAAGGTAACGACGGAAAGGAAAACCAGCGGATGGAATCGGTGCCGCGTTTCTCTCTCTCTCTCTCTCTCTCTCTCTCTCTCTCTGTCACTCTCTCTGTCTCTCTCTCTGTCTCTCTCTGCCTCGCTCTCTTTCGCATGCTTCGGGCATCAACTTATCATGGGTAGCGTTGCAAATCTGCTCGCTACACCATAGGGCGCGATTGCAGATTCGTTTGTACGGGTGTGGTTATTTATGTCAAGTTAGCTGTAAGGGCAGAATAGGCGAATTGGGTGACAGCCCTTATCACTAATTCGCTCTCGCGAGCGCGAATTTGTTTTATTGCGGATAGGAGAGCCGGCATCTAGATCACCAATTTGATTTGTAATCTTTCATCAGTTGATTTTATTTGTTATGTTTATTGAGTAAAGACCTTTATTAAGTCACTGTCACAATCGTTTCTCGCCTATATCATTTTTTATCCTGAAACCAATTCGCGCGAGTGACGCGTTATAACTCGATGCGCTATTTGATCATGGGAGTTTTCGCGCCTCCTAAATCCCTTTTAAAAATAATTTGTGCGAGTGGCCGCGATGTACCCTTAGCGGAAACGGCCGTATTACTGTTACAAGTTGTAGGGACCGTTCATTTATCCGAAGTCATCTAAAATAAAAAGGTGTTTTTCTGTGCTGGAGCATTCCAGCCACCTCCTGGGAATCAACAAAGCTCGTTGAAATAGGCTTGTTTCCTTAAAGTCATCCAAATCGTTCTTACCTATATATATACATATATATATATATATATATATATATATATATATATATATATATATATATATATATATATATATATGTTGTAAAGGGGTGATTGCTCCGTTTCAATCCGATTATTCGTTCGGCGCGAAAGCGTGTCGAGATGCGCGCGGTGATATCGAAATGTTCAAATTTAATAGTCGGAGAGCAGGAGGGGACGAGAGTCAGACAACCAACTTGTTACTAGTTAGAAATAACAACAGTAAAATTATGATTTGAATCGCATGCGAGTTAGTTTATTTGCCTATTCACTACAATAAACTTGGCCCGCGTGTTTATGTTTACGAAGAGCGCGCGCGTCAATAACATACAATGTCGGAGCGGCTGTAGCTCTTTGTTCGCAGAGTCTATACATGCACGCTACCGATTTTCATAGAGTACGAGAGATTAATAATTCACTCCGCACAGTCATACAAAAAGTCGCGATACTAAGCTGGCCAGCTTATATTATTAATGGTCGTATGATTAGCGATAGAGGAGGAGGTTCGTTGGCGGTCCCTTGTCGGAAGCAGTTCGCTCGCGGTTTTCGCCCTCGATGGCAAAACTCCTCACTTACGCTCACTCGCACCCACTCAGTTCTCGCGAGCGCGGAGATATCACTTCTATTGTTCGGAAAATCGGCTGGTTCACTGCTTACTTCCCTTGGAAACTCTTGGCGGAAAAACTCTGGCTTATTGTTAAGCGGCTGAACGTTCGGATAACTAATCCTCGACTGGTTCATTTATATTCGCACGCGTTCCGTCCCGTCTCGTAATGAATTCCCTTATTCCATTTTCCCCAACCAGTAGGTGCTGCCCTCGCAGGCAGCCGCATGGTTGGGGTGATAGCGCTAGTAGGACGTTTACCGTCACAATGTATGATCAAATATATCTGTAACGAAATTTTCAATTTATTTCTAATTAATATAACTGTTGTAGGAATCTGATAATGAAGAAGATTACGATGATAATTTAGTGATTGATCCGGGAACTGATTTAAATGCATTCTGTAAGTATATAAAAAGTGTTGAAAAATGATAAATTATTAAGTAGATTGTTCAGTATATCTATTTTTAGTGATGGAAACATTCAATGATGACATCGAAGAAGAAAAAGATCCAGATATTATGCAAGATTCAATATATCTTTTAAATCTTGGTCAGTACTTACGCGATTTTTTGCTGAACTTCTCTTCGCATCATGGATTTCCTTTATTTGCTCAACATCTTACTATATTAGAAAGGAAAGTTTTGAATTATATAAATATATTTTGATCATCTAGCTGTCAAATTAATGATTCTAGAGATAGAATCATGATAAAATAACAGAATTTTATTAATGAACTCTTATTTTTTAATCGTTGATTATTCATTATTTACTAAATATGTTTCGATTTCAATTTCTCGATGATCTATTACGGACTATATCCGTTTTCATAAAGGAATAAGCCAAGTTAATCGAGTATCCATTGGTTGTGAGCAAAAAATGATTTTTAAGTGTATTACGACATAAAGTTCCATTGTTTAAGCATTTTATTTATTTATTTATTTAGTGATAATAATAAACTCTAACAATTTAAGAAAAAAAAATACTTGAATATTAACATATAATAACAATAACATAATAACACAACATAACGCATACAATTAATATCCAATGTACATGTGTCTTATCACTTTCTACAATATTGCCAAATATTTTTTGCTATTTACTTTTTCAGTTCATTCTTAAAAATATTTTATTCCTTTTCTAATATCTTAAGCTCATAAGGTAGTAAATTAAAATTCCTAATATTAGCAATATCTACTGTTTTTTTTATTATATCTATTATACCATGCAACGATCGCCGAGAATCGTTTTGACTCGCGTAGGTTACTGAGCGGCTGAGCGTAACAGCCGTGATCGGTTTGAGAGAGAGAGGGCGCGTTAGGGGCAATGACCGGGAGGGGAGAGTTTGCTAGCCAGTATGACTGTGACACTCAGTCCGGCTGCATCATAGCGATCTGGAGTTTCAACGTTTACCGTCTTTTTGAGTGAGAACCAGGGTGTGCAGCATAATTAGTGAGAGTAGAGCGAGGGGAGTGACCTATGTGTGCACTGTTGAACGTGCCCGGATACAGGAGTTGCAGGAGCAACCTCATCATTCCCTACTTCCACGCTAGAGCTACAACAGCAGATCAGCAACCTCAGAGGCAGCAGATCCGAAACGCGTGCGTCGGATACGGTTGGCCACCGTATCCCCATCAATTCCGCGGTAGGTGCCCAGCCATATTAATTGTTATTAGCGTGCGATCCCGCACAGCGTGTGCGGCGAATTATAAAAAGCGTGCGAGCGATTAGTCCGCGGCGATCGCGATTTTCACTCTCTTTCTCCCCGTTCGTATTGTCATTCGGAAGTGCGTGCAAAAGTCTCTCGGCTAACCCCCCCTTATATTAACTTTGAGTAAATAAAGTGATCAGTGGTTTATACGTAACGATCGTATTGTTTTGTCTTCCCTTTGTCCGAGAACCGTGTTATTGTTTACGTTCAATTCGAACGCGCCGGTAATATAGCACGGATCGCGTAGGCAACGTAGGAAGCGGCTCGCCAACCGAGTTACCAGCAGCGGCCGACGGAGCGCTGCTAAGCAAGCGCGCCAGCGCCCCTAGCGGAGAGATCGAGAACCCAACTTCGATCGATAAGAGAACTCTGCGCAGGCGCACTCCCGGACAAGGTGAGTTAAGGTGCTTATCGCACATAGATAACAAGGCGTCGTTTGACCATACGAATAGATATATTTAAGCGGGATCGAAGGTTAAACGGCAGCCTGTTACAACCACTTTTTATATCTTTGTTAATTAAATACTCTTAACTGTTATCCTGACAATAAATTTTATATATTTGTTTTTAGCTTACTGTAGTAGTGGTAAAATAATCTAGAACAAATATTTGATCTAGCCTTAATGGATATTTTTAAAATAAAATTTATTGACTAATAATAATCTATAATAGTATGTTCGGAAAATTTTGTCATACAATGCAGTCGTACTAAAACTTCTCTATTCAGTTATTAGAATTTAATTTTTTTAGAGATAAGCGTGATAGATCGACTGTAGTACTTTAATACCTTTATTATCACCGAATATTGGATATTTATTTTACTGGATCGAAAATAATTGAGAATTTAGTCTTTCCAAGCGCTGTGCAAAATTTTGCTGAGAACTATTACATCTAGGAAGAATAAGAATAGAGTCCTGAGAAAAATGCACTGGGTTTATAACTTTTACGTCTACAGTAAAGATTTACTTAGGCTACTTTTCCTCGTAAAAGTAAATATCTTATGAGTTGAACTATTAAGCAATCTATAAGAAGAGTAAAATTATAAGGCTAATCACTGAATAAGCAAACTTCTTGTTTGAGCGTGAGAGCATAAACATGTGGTAAGAGCGTGACTCGAAAATTAACAAAATAAAGTTAAAGTAAGAGCGAAAGAAAGTATCACCGCAATAGTTAAAAGGAGAAAATAAAATAAAAATAGGAGTAATAAAAGAAAAGTGAACATCCCGTTAAAAAGAAATAAAAATGTAAACTCATTCTTAGTTAAGTATGACACCTGACACTTAAGTTAGATTACGTATGGTATGAATGTAAATAAAACAAAGGCAGGAATTATAAGAAACAAAGTTATAAACAATAAAACTCTTGACAATTTCTTAATGCTACCCCAAGTTTAAACAGAAGCGATAAAAAGATTATGTAAGCTATTAAATGACAACCTTTCTTTCAAATGTAAAATTTAATGATCCAATGTGCGAATTATTTTATCAAGCACTTCACAATTTAAACAGCAGAAAAGCATTTTGGCTATTGCTAAGTGACTCGAAAATTTTCATTGCCTTTTTTTTGAGATCACTGAGAGTATAAGATTGATCTTATCCTAATCGCACTCTTTCCAGCTTACAACCATTTTTCAACCAGTTACGTGCTAAAGTTGACCACGTACGGACGCAAGGTTCAAGTATTATATTGTTTACTGCAATAAATTCAGAGTAATAAAAAGTAATTTATATTCAACAAAAGATAAATTAACAAAAGAATTATTGAACACTGTAATACATACATCTGATATAACTAAATTACGACTTCTTTAGAGGTTCTATTGGACCAAGTGTATGTGTGTGCGTGTGCGTGTGCGTGTGCGTATGCGTGTGTGTGTGTGTGTGTATATATATATATATATATATATATATATATATATATATATATATATATATATATGTATTTATATATACGAAGTGTGATCAAAAAGTAAGGTGAATTTTTATTTTTCTCAAGAGTATTTATTTATTCATCAATTTTTATTTTATCTCCTCCAAAGTAATCCCCCTCGGATATAATGCACTTGTGCCAACGCTTTTTCCAATCCTCAAAGCATTTCAACAAATCATTTTTTGTGATCTTGTTTAGTTCATCCTTCGATGCCGTCTTTATCTCCTCAATCGTGGTAAAACGCCGTCCTTTCATGGGCCTCTTCAGTTTTGGGAACAAGAAGAAGTCACAGGGGGCCAGATCTGAGGAATACGGTGCCTGTGGCATCGTTACTGTGTTGGTTTTAGCCAAAAATTCGCGCACAAGCAACGATATGTGAGCAGGGACGTTATCATGGTGCAAAAGCCAATTTTTATTTTTCCACAAATTCGGACGTTTCTGGCGGATTGCTTCGCGCAAATTGCGCATAACTTGCGGGTAATATTCCTTATTTACTGTTCTACCCTGTGGCAAGAACTCATGATGCACCACGCCCCTGCAGTCAAAGAAAACTATAAGCAAAACCTTTACATTTGATCGAACTTGGCGTGCTTTTTTTGGTCTTGGTGATCGAGAATGCCTCCACTGGGACGATTGAGTCTTAGTCTCGACGTCACAACTGTATACCCATGTTTCGTCACCTGTTATAACTCTGTTGAGTAAATCTGGATCATCGTTGACGTCATTCAGTAGCTCTTGGGCGATGCTCATGCGACGTTTCTTTTGGTCGAAATTGAGCAATTTCGGAACAATCTTCGCTGACACACGTCTCATGTCTAAAACACTCGTCAAAATTGATTGGCACGAACCAAATGAGATGCCAATATCATCAGCAATTTCTCTAATGGTAATTCGACGATTTCCCAACACTATTTTCTTCACTTCTTCAACATTCTCATGTGCTGGGGCGTCCAGAACGAGGTTCGTCGTCGATGTCTTCTCGGCCTTCTTGGAAGAGTTTATACCACTTGTAAACATTTTTTTGGCTTAAAGTAGATTCACCGTATGCCACTTTCAGCATTTCAAGTGTTTTGGAACATTTGATTCCATTTTTCACACAAAATTTAATGCAAACTCTTTGATCCATGTTTTTAGACAGCAGCAAATCGTGGAGCACGCAAAACACTTCAACCTTGATGCCTCTCACAAACAAACCAAACATACTACAAAGCTGAAATTGTTCTAGACGATGTACCGACATAACCAAATAAAAAAGTCGAAGATCGAACGGACGTAGCCCGTTAAATTTCAAAATTCACCTTACTTTTTGATCACACCTCGTATATAGTTAGTTTATATATTTACAACTTATATGTTACATTTGGTTTACATTTCTTATATTACTATTTATGTCTCGTATCCAGTTTGTGTAGTTGATTATGTATGTGTTTTGTGTGTGTGAGTGCGCGGGTGCGTGTGTGTGTATGTGTTGTGTAAATATGTGCCTTTGTAGGTGTGTCTGCAACTCTTGTGTCCCTGTCTTCTGCGCCTGCCTGTTCCTCTTTTCTTCTCATTTTTCTTCTGATTAATCTTCTCTTCCTCTTTGTCTCTCCAAGATCTGCCTTTTCCGCTCTTCTGTTTTCTTTTCAGCTTTTCCTTTATTACTTTCATTTGCCTTTTCACCTTTGCCTTTCCTTTGCTTTTGCTCTCTTTCTTGCTAATCATTTCATCTATCTTTCTCCTTATTAAGGCTGTGACACCTTTTTCTTGTTTCCTATTGCTCCCTCTGCCTTTCCTTTCCTCAACTTCAGTATCCTTTTCCTTAGTATCTTATGATTTGCCTTCTAGATTACCTTTTTCTTTCTTTTCTTCGATTCTTCTTCTTTTCCATTTTACTCCATTCTCCAATACCTGCTTCCTCTCGCTTGTGTAGTTGCTTTTACTTGCGTCTTGTGTGTGTGTGTGTGCATGTGTATGTTTATGTTTGCGCGTATGTTTGTGTTTTGTGTGTATGTGTGTGTATGTATGTGTGTGTAGATATGTCTGCGAGTCTTGCTTCTCTGTCTTCTGTTTCCGTCTCTCCTTAGGGTCTTGTAGCTTCGACTTCTTGCTTTTCTTTTTCTTTCTTCTCTTCATTTCTTCTTGTTTTCCATTTTATCTCCATCATCCACGCTATCTTTTCTTTGCTTCCTATTATTATTTTTTCCTACTCTTCCCCTTCCTTTCTGCTTTTTCACATTTTTCTACCATGTGCTTCCAATTTTCTTCCTCTTTCATACACATTCTGCCTCTCTT